CAATGGGTTGGGGATAACCTGTTTGAAGATTATTGTGACAATAAGTCAACAGATGGTCGAAAGCATCCTTTACTTTGATGTCCACATCTGCTCCACGACTCACTTCTTCGCACACATTCACTAAGATATGAAGTTTGCGTAAAACAAATGGATTCTGTGGCAACAAAATTAACAATTAATCACTTGATTTAAAATACTTTACTAAATTGTTGAATGTCATACTTTGTTTAAATTAAGACAATTTTGATGGAAAGCGTCCACTAGTTTTCGGTAACACTGTCTGTTACTGAGCTCTTGCTTTTTGTTGACCATTACATCAATTTGTTTACCAATTAAATGTTGAATACTATTGAGATATTGAGTGAAATGGTGGCTAAGAAACTCTCGACCATCAATGAGTTGTTGTAATTGTGTGGTTAGACTACACGTAAAAATTAATTTTGAAATCTTTTCAGTTTAGCAAATGTCTGAATTTCTTACAGCTTTTTATCCTCGGGATCAGTGGTGGCCTGGATCCTATTTTTGAGGACATGTATGGGCACATCTCCACTGTCAACGGTTGTAAAGACAGCCGGTGTCACCTCATCCCCACCAATCAATTGATGGAATGAATTCTTGGATCCTTTTTGTGTTAATTCAAAAATATCTTAATTTTTATAACAATAAATGTTATAATAATGATACAAACCCTGGAACTGAGTGAGAGGAAGGTTGCCAATGGATAGGTCCCCGTATTCCTGCTGTACTCTTCATAAGCAGAGGAAGAATTGTTAGCACTTGACAAGTCAAAGTGTCTCATTTCCATAACTTCTTCGGTCACTGTTTTCAATCCATTTCACACTATAGACGTCTCCTGAATATTCACGTGAGGCACCATTCAAATCAAATGTGCAATACTACAAATGATTTACTAAATAATTTACTATAACTAACCCAGATATGTCTGTCTCTTAGAGTCATAATAACAGGCATAACTCGATTCCGTGGGATTCGATGCAGTTGTGGCGAAAATGTTTATGTTTTTCGGTAATAATTTATTAAACATTGAGCCTATTAGAAAATTACAATATTAAGTGTAAAGTATTGTATTTTATGTGTTATTTAAACTAAAATAATAGTAATAATAAATAACAATACAAACCTGATTCGCATGCCTCCAAATAAAAGACTAGTTTTGAATACTTGTGATTGTCGTACATATATTGCAGGGCTTTGTTTAAGTCCTCTCCGTATAAGTATTCGCTCGGAAA